TGAAAACTAATAAATACTTAAGTAGATGTCATGCACTATAATCATTAATTTTTTTTTTGCTTTCAATTTCCCTCCCAAATTCAGAACACCTTTTTGAGAGTTAAAGAAAAAGGTCAGGCTCGGCACCTGTGGGCTCAAGTGGCTAAGGCACCAGCCACATACTCCAGAGCTGGTGGGTTTGAATCCAGCCTGGGTGGCCACAACAATGACCACTACCAAAAAAAAAAAACAAAAAAAAAACAACAGCCAGGCATTGTGGTGGGCGCCTGTAGTCTCTTCCAGCTACTTGGGAGGTGGAGGCAGGAGAATCTCTTGAGCCCAGGAGTTAGAAGTGGCTGTGAGCTGTGATGCCACAGCACTCTACCCAAGGCAACAGCTTGAGGCTCTATCTCAAAAAAATGTAAAAAATAAAAGTTCACAGAAATGTGGATGGAAGAAGTCTTAACTGTTCTTCCTTTTCTAAACAATTTTTCAGTGTCAATGACAATATCTGCTAACATTCCAAAGATTTTGGAAAAGAACATTTAATTTAGTTCAATTCTGTTCATCAATTATTAAACCTTCACTTAACAGAAGGCATGCTTGAGTCTGATAAATGTTAAGAGAAATCTCATCTCAGGTTATTATTAGAATCAGAGTTAAATCAACAATTAAATAATTTCATTTTCAGATTGAGATCTAGAATGCAAAACCTCAATTTAAACAGTAAAATTCCTGTTGTATTACATAAAAAACAATAAAAGCTCCAGACCAGGCTTTATAATTCCCTGCAATCTTCTAATAATATGGGCTACTAATGTCTTCTCTGGTAAACACTGAAATCTTCCCTCCAAGTGGACTCTAAAACAACCTTACTGTGGGGCGCCTGTGGCTCAGTAAGTAGGGAACCGGCCCTATAACCTGAGGGTGGCAGGTTCAAACCCAGCCCTGGCCAAACTGCAACCAAAAAATAGCCAGGCATTGTGGCAGGCGCCTGTAGTCCCAGCTACTCCAGAGGCTGAGGCAGGAGAATAGCCTAAGGCCAAGGAGTTGGAGGTTGCTGTGAGCTGTGGCGCTACAGCACTATGAGGGTAAATAAGTGAAACTCTGTCTCAAAAAAAAAAAAAACTAAAACTAAAACCTTACCCTAAACAGCTACAATCATATGCTTTCCTCATTTCTTTGTTTAGCATTAACCAAATGAAGCAGACATAAACTATTTAAAGCATTTAAAGCGAAGCAAAAGCAAAAACCCACCATCAAGCAAATGCAAAATACAAATTAAAGAGGCAGGAGCCTGTGTCAATGAATCTTTGGAAGTCTTAAAGCTGATCTGACTTTACCTGAAAACTACTTTCTATCTCTCAGATCCAGAAGTTAGCAATCTACCAAGTTGGAAATGCCTGTGAAGCACTAACCCCAGAAAAGCACTTCTTGGTGATGGTTAAATGAGCCTTAAAAAAATGGCTGATGGTTTGCATCACAGCTGCATCCTTCACTTAAAACTAAGCTTCCCAGCAGTGCCCATAGTTCTGTGGGTAGGATGCCAGCCACATACACAGAGGCTACCGGGTTCGAACCTGGCCTACGCCTGCTAAACAACAACTGTACCCACCAGAAAAAAAACAGCTGGGCATTGTGGCGACACCTGTAGTCCCAGCTACTTGGGAGGCTGAGGCAAGAGAACCACTTAAGCGCAAGAGTTGGAAGTTGCTGTGAGCTGTGATGCCACAGTACTCTACCCAGGGCCACAGCTTGAGACTCTGTCCCAATGAATAAATAAATTAAATAAAACTAAGTTTCCCCAAGTACTACTTGTTCACACATCACTGATAAGGAAGGGAAAAGCACAGCTATGAAGTCTACCAAACTAAGGAAAGAACATGTAGTGAAAATAAGATGGAGTCAGTCAGCCGTGGGCCAAAATGACAAAGCTAGTCTGGTCAGTTTTAGGCCTAAGTAACCTTTACCTCCTGTCTCCCATTCTTACCGTTTTGTAAATTTAGCTCCCACTCTAAAGATGCCTATCTTGAGTAGTTTAGATGGATTGATTTGGGAGATTAACTTTTGAACTGGAATGTTATAAATCACTGAGTTATGCTGATTATTATTTAAAATAAGTATTAATGTGGTCTTTGCTTTGAACTTTTATGTATAAAACTGTGATTTTGGAAATGCAAGAACAGAACAGTCTTGGAGAGGCTACTCTCACTGTTCTCCAGAATCCCCTGCCTTCTGACAAAGTTTGGTGGACCTATCCCTGTTTCTGCATATTGGCTAACTGTAAAAGATCGTTGGATCCTCTTCCTCCGGTAACACTAATATCAATTACAATTTAATTGTGCACATCTGCACAATTAAAAGCCCAGGAATAATCAGCATGGGTCAGGAAGCAGTAGGCAGTAGTTTACAATCTTTAGAATGCCTAAAAGGAGCTTTTTTTTTTTTTTTTTTGAGACAAAGTCTCATTCTGTCACCCTTGGTACAGTGCCGTTTTGTCAGAGCTCACAGCAACCTCAAAGTCTTTGGCTCAAGTGATCTTCTAGCCTCAGCCTCCCAAATAGCTGGGACTACAGGTGCCCACCACAATGCTTGGTTATTTTTTAGAGACTGGTCTGGATCTCAAGCAATCCACGCACCTCAGCCTCCCAGAGTGCTAGGACAACAGGTGTGAACCACGACTCCAGGCCAAGTCATTGTTTTTTAAAATGCAGATTTCTGGGCCCTTCCCCCTAGACCTACAGAAACAGACTTTCAGGGGAGTAAGATATGTAAATCAGCATTTAAAACAACAGATTAGTAAAATACAGCTACCTAGGGAATACTTTTAACATTAAGGTAGCTTCCATTTTGTTAAATATCTAAAATGCCACAGCAAGTGGAGTTTTAATATACTGTTGCTTCCTTTTGGGAGTATTTATTCCTCCCTATTCCAAAGGAAAGGAAAGAAAAGAAACCTGCTCAGCTGAAATGCTATTCCTACTTAGCGAAAGTAGGGCCAAGAACAATTTCTAGATAGATCAAAAATGCAAAAACATTAGATGATAAAGCCTTTACTGCACGTGAGTTTGTTCATCCTTCCAGAATTAGTGCCAACAGCCAACAGAATAAGAATATGTAAAAGACCTGAAAATGTTATCTTGACTGTCTTTATCATACCCTACAATAATTCCACTTTTTTAAAAGAAGCCAAATGCTTTGTTCCTGGTCAACAACACTAACCTTTTCCTTGTAGATAGTTACCTGAAATGTTAGTAATTAACCTGATGTCCTTTAATCTAGAATTAAGTGCATTTGGTTATTAAAGCCATGAAATATTTTACACTAAAAGCGAAAAATCAGTAAAAAGTCTTAAAACTGAAAGAAAGGCAGATTATGGCTGAGATCACATAAAGCCTAAATAGCTATTCTGAGAACCTCATTATTGCAAAGTCATAAACCCATCAGATATAATGCAATGTAGCAATAAATTACTATTGCAAAGAAAAGTTTCTTCACAACACATGTTCAAACCCAAGTGGGTAGAGATGTAAGGATGCTCCAGCTGATGAGCAGTGGAACTAAAAGCATTTTTCTCTTGAACTCAAAATACACAAATGTCCCTTTTGCACATCAGCTGAATCTCATTACAGTGTAATGTTACTTTTTTAACCTTTGCAAAACTTGGATTTAAAGATTACTGAGTTAGGTGCTAAGAAATTTTCGATAGAAAAAGTTACTTCACTGTGACACAGATGCCTAGAGAAGAGAGAGAATCAAGTAACAGTTACTTAGTTTCCCATAATGACAAATGGGGGGCGGGGAGCCCAAATGTCAAACAACAAAGAATCTCTTTAAAAGATTCACATTTTTAAATCAATGTCAAATATGTGAATGAATCTGAAAAGTAGCCTACACAAAGAATTCTACTCTAAGAACACTTCATTCTACTTTGGAATCAAGTAGCACCTCACTACACCTTAGTCAATCATACTTATGTTTTAAGGTATTGAAAGGACTCATCTATCAACTTGTTTTCCTGCATTGCAAAAATCAAATTTTACTCTAACCAAATCCCATGTTGAAATGAAGCAACTAATTTTCTACAAAAGCATTTCTGCTCAACTCTTTCTTCCTATTTGATTAGCACTGTTTTAACTTTTACCATGTTTGATTACAACTGGAAAGTAAAATTAAATTCTACATCTATTCTTCACGTTAAGATTAACAACAAAAAGTTATACTGCATGTTCAAAACTGGACCAGAACGTTTAAAATACATTACAGTATTCGCGGAGAATCAGTTTCACAGAATTACAGAAAGTGAACAGGACTACAAAGATTGTGTTTAGTTTCACCACTTAACTTGCCAACAGACTTTCGGTGAGCCGCTAAAGTCTCACCTGTGAAACTGGAGTTCTAATCCTTTATTCATAGTGTTAAGAGAAGCAAATGAGTTTTACGTGGGGGAAAAACCTTGACAACTGTATGAGAGACAGGAACACAGTTACCCAACAATATGTGTAAACCGTCACGGTAAACACAAGTTATTCTTTTAAATAGGCTCTACCGTGCAAGCGTCAAAATGGAATCACTAACGATCAAATACTGACATGATTTTATCACTCATTCTGGTCGGAAATTTTAGTCTAAATACGACACTCAACCTAAATAACGGAATAATCTCTCCTTTTCCCTATTTCATAACGAGGGGAAAACTCAAGAGCCGCTAGATATGATAAAATGCTGCTATCCTTCCTTTCCCGCGTTTCCCCGCCTCATCAAGGTGCTTTTCAATTCTACCAAGGACTCTCTTGGACTTCCTCGATACTAGAACAACAAAAACAAATCACCCCCTCTCCCCGGATCAGGGTGGAATCTTCCCTCCTGGGCGTCCTCCCGGCTCCCTAGGCCACCGGACACACGCTCGGCCCCGGCACCGCCGGAGCCCTAAATGCTACCGCGGCAAGGCGGGTCCCAGCCCGAGCCCGCTCCCCTCCCCCACGGCGCCCGGGCGCAGGCCCTAGGCCCGCGGGACTTACGCTCTCGTGGTCCCACCGCACGTTGCTGCGCTTCTCGTCCGGGGCAAGGTTTCGGTCCCGGCCCATCAACTCATCCAACAGCTGCGCGGCCGAAATCATGGTGCTTCCTTCGGGCGGCTGCCCCACCAGCCCTGGCACCCACCAACGAAAATGCCCGCGACACCGTCGCCAACCCCTCCCCGCCGCCGGCCCGCTCTAAGGCCGAAAAGCCTCCTCTACAGAGGAGCCGATAAGACAAAATGGCCGCCGCGCGGGAGCCTTCCCAGAATGCTGAGCGCTCGCGGGGACACGCCCAAACCCAGGCGGCGAGGGCCGACCGGCTTCCGCCGTCCGGGGGCGGGGCCCGCCGAGGCCCGGCCCGGACTCCGCCCCCGTGGGGAGGTGGCGCGGTTTGACAAGTGCAGCCAGCGAACCTACCTAAGCGTCCTTCTTCCTGGGCTTTTTCACTGAGAAATAGGAACTGAGGTCTTGAAGCTTGGACGCTGCTCCAAAGTGGAGAAAAAGCAATCTCTCTTAGTCCCCGCAGTATGCACAGTGCCATTTTCCAGTCGCGGAAACTGAAGAGTCCCTGTTCCGACTCTATTTTCCTAATGCACTCGCCTCCCTTTCTACCTGGCTTTGTCCTCCCACCCAGATTCTGCTTCATAAGGTGAGAAATCAAGGCGGTTTCTAAAAGGAGTATGAAGATTCAGCCCTATACATCATGCCTCCCAGTGTGGAACTTTTAAAAATTATTGATTCATTTGTTCATCACATAGCTTAGTATTTAACCATGTGCCTGAAGTTAAGCTCAGAACCTTTCAGACACAGTTCTTGCTCCCGTAGACCTGTGCATTGGTCAGGGAGGCAATCATTAAATAAAGTTAGGCTGGGTACGGTGAATCATGGCTGTAATCACAAAACTTTAAGAGTTTTAAGTGGGAGGATTACTTGACTCCAGGAGTTTGAAAACAGCCTGGGCTTCAAAGTGAGACCCCACTTCTCTACAAAGAAATATGTTTTTTTACAAATTACCCAGGAATAGTGGTGGATGCCTGTAGTCCTACCTACGCAAGAGGCTGAGGCAGGAGAATTACTTGATTCAGGAGTCAGAAGCTGCAGTGAGCTATGATGATGTCACTTCATTCAAGCCTGGGCAACAGTGCAAGACGCTGTCTCTGAAAATGTAAAATAATAAAGTTGCAAATATATCAATATAATCATGCTGTACTGTAGTACAGTTAAGGATATGGGCTCTAGGGAGGCGCTTGTGGCTCAGTGGGTAGGGCGCGGGCCTCATGTACAGAGGGTGGCGGATTCGAACCCGGCCTCAGCCAAACTGCAACAAAAAATAGCTGCGCGTGGGCAGCACCTGTGGCTCAGTGAGTGGTGAGGAGCCGGCCCCATATACCGAGGATGGCGGGTTCAACCCCGCCCCAGCCAAACTTCTACAACAACAACAAAATAGCC